CTTTCTGTTGGGCTGTGAAGCTTTTACACTGCAAGTATTCTCTCTTAGAACCCAGGGGAAGAGAGTGTGAGAGGCCGTGTCATATCCTAGGTGTTTGATGGGGCATGGATTATTTTTTAAAATCTTTTTCCTCTATTAGACAAAATTGCATCCAGGGGTAATTGCAAATTGAAATGCTATTTCATGTAGCCTCTTGAAATCGGACATTACCCCTTAAAATTTATACAAAAACATGGTTCCTGAAAGTTTCCCAGAAGTGCTATCTGGGGTGCCTCATGTGCTACCAGAATTTGGGGTGCCATATGATTTCATCATATGCTTACTAATAAATCCCCAATATTAGTAAGTCCAAGAGGGTTCTTGCCTAGTATTTAGAGAAGAATTCTAAATACCAGCACAAATAAATGAGGCAGCATGGTACATTTTAGGCTTTTATTTAGTGCGAGAGGTATCTAGGAAAGTGAGGGCTTTAGTTCAGGTTGGAGAGAGGGGAAAGTCTGGAAACTAGGGTAACATCCATATCACTCAGAGAGCAGGCCAAAGCCACGTGCAGCAAGCGCCTTGAGCTGCTATCCACTGCTTATCACCAGCAGCAAAGCAGAGGCAGAGCAAGAGCCTTTTGGGACACTCCTTGCCTTTTTATATGTTTTCCACAGGGGCATGGCTTGTGGGCAGGTGGGCGCTCAGGTATGGTCAGGTAGAGCCTGATGTCACACAGGGGCGTGGCAAAGGTATCAGGTAGGGTGTAAGGTCACACAGGGGCGTGGTGAAGCTATCAGGTAGGGCGTGAAGTCACACAGGGGCATGGTGAAGGCGTGGTCTTCCAGCTCACAAACCTAATCAATTTTAGCCTATATGGCTGCCTATTTCACTCTTACCAAACAAAAATCTTTCAACTTATTATGTTTTTTTTTTTTTTTTTTTGACAGATAGAGTTATACAGTGAGAGAGAGAGAGACAGAGAGAAAGGTCTTCCTTCTGTTGGTTCACTCCCCAAATGGCTGCTATGGCCGGCGCTGCACCAATCCGATGCCAGGAGCCAGGTGCTTCCTCCTGGTCTCCCATGTGGGTGCAGGGCCCAAGCACTTGGGCCATCCTCCACTGCCTTCCTGGGCCACAGCAGAGAGCTGGACTGGAAGAGGAGCAATCGGGACAGAATCCGGCGCCCCAACCGGGACTAGAATCCGGGGTACTGGCGCCGCAGGTGGAGGATTAGCCAAGTGAGCTGTGGCACCGGCCAACCAAACAAAAATCTTCCAAGTTAACAATTTGCTTTCCTTTTCATGGTTTTAAATGTTAAACACAAATAAAAAGTTAGAGTAGACACAAGAATAGTAAGTTATTTCTGTGTCTTTTTTGGGAGGGAGTGGTCATTGTAATTTTTTTTTTTCAATTGGAAAACAAATATACAATTTGGAATGGATTTGAGGCAAATTGTGTCAAAAACATATTTTCTTTAAGTGGCGAGACAAAGTTTAAAAAGCAAGTAACAATGAAAGCAAATGTTCCTGGCATGGGACCAGAAGTACAAAGCAACAGCATGTGAGTTCCTGGATATACACCTGTTTTGCAACATTGCAAATTTTGAGTACCTAAGGTTGACTGTCCATAGTCCATGCAGCTTCGAGGCCATACTTTATCAACTGCCTGCTGGCAGCTCCCAAAGAAAGCAACTTAAAAAAGGCAGAACCCAGGTGTTTACTTATTTGTCTGACTCTTCTAAGTTTAGATGTGCAGAATGGCTTAACCATGCCCAGAATAAGCCACATACAGCCTGGGACTTGATCCATTTCTAAAATAAGGTTTCAGCACCATGACAGTAGACAGTGGGTGAAAACTCAAAGGAATGAACCCCTGATTACCATACATGTGTATTTTTTCACCTTTTACAGGTAAGTTACAAAGAAAAGACAAGCCGACAATTTCATCCAAGAAATCTAGATTTATTTGTTTATTTGAAAGGCAGAGCTACACAGAGAGAGAGAGGGTGTTGGCCGGCGCCGCAGCTCACTAGGCTAATCCTCCACCTAGCGGCACCGGCACACCGGGTTCTAGTCCCGGTCAGGGCGCTGGATTCTGCACTGGTTGCCCCTCTTCCAGGCCAGCTCTCTGCTGTGGCCAGGGAGTGCAGTGGAGGATGGCCCAGGTGCTAGGGCCCTGCACCCCATGGGAGACCAGGAGAAGCACCTGGCTCCTGGCTTCGGATCAGCGTGGTGCGCCGGCCGCAGCGCACCAGCCATGGCGGCCATTGGAGGGTGAACCAACGTCAAAAGGAAGACCTTTCTCTGTCTTTCTCTCTCACTATCTACTCTGCCTTTCAAAAAAAAAAAAAAAAAAGAGAGAGAGAGAGAGGGTGCAACAGAGCAACAGAGAACAGAGAGAGCTTGCATTCTGTTGATTCACTCCCCAAAAGACTGCAATGGCCAGGGCTGGGCCAGGCCAAAGCCAGGAGCTTCTTCCAGATCTTCCATGTGGGTACAAGGGCCCAAACACTTGGGATATCTTCTGCTGCTTTTCTAGGCCATTACCAGAGAGCTGGATTGGAAGTGGAGCAGCTGGGACTTGAACCAGTGCACATATGGAATGCCTGGGTCACAGGTGGTAGCTTCACCTGCTATGCCACGAGATTGGTCCCTCATATAAGAATTGATACATTCTCTGTGATGTCTTCATTTTGCTATAATTTGTACAAACTTTTTTTTTTAAGATTTATTTATTTATTTGGAAGGCAAAGTTACAGAGAGAGAGAGAGAGAGAGAGAGAGAGAGATCTTCATCTACTGGTTCACTTCCTAAATGGGTGCAACAGCCAAGGCTGGGCCAGGCCAAAGCCAGGAGCCTTGAACTACATCTGGGTTTCTCATGTGGGTGCAGAGGCCCAAGGACTTGGGCCATCCTCTCTCTGCTGCCTTCCCAGGTGCATTAGCAGGGAGCTGGATCAGAAGTGGAACAGCCTGGACTGATTCTCCTATGGAATGCTGGTGTCCCAGGCGATGGCTTAACCCGCTGCACCGCCATGCCAGCTGCCTCTGTACAAACTCTTCACCATCAGTGTCTGCTTCCGTGCTGGTTCCATCGACCCGCTCATCCCTTCACTCCCCTCCCGGCTCTGTCAGGGCAGCACACGCAGAGTCTTTGGTCATCAATGTTACCGGTCACGGAGGCGAGGGTGGTTGCCAGAGCGAGTCTCTTGGGGTCTCTTCCTCAGCTTAGTAGAGAAATAAAAAGCTGGTGGCCGGCTCCGCTGCTTACTAGGCTAATCCTCTGCCTGTGGTACTGGCACCTCGGGTTCTAGTCCCGGTTGGGGCACAGGATTCTGTCCTGGTTGCCCCTCTTCCAGTCCAGCTCTCTGCTGTGGCCCGGGAGTGCAGTGGAAGATGGCCCAAGTGCTTGGGCCCTGCACCCCATGGGAGACCAGGAGGAAGCACAGCGCTGGCCGTGGCGGCCATTTGGGGGTGTGTGTGAACCAACGGAAGGCAGACCTTTCTCTCTGTTTCTCTCTCTCTCACTGTCTAACTCTGCCTGTCAAAAAAAAAAATTAAAAAAAAAAAACTTAAAAAAAAGAAAAGAAAAGAAAGAAAGAAAGAAAAAGCTGGGGAACAATTTGCAAAGAGGCAGAAACTTTTGATTGGCAAGCGACAGAGAAAGCGTCTGGTCCAAGAGGAGAGCAGGCGGAGTGCCCGAATGGGACACCGGCTTTGAGGACGTGTCCTGGGTTTTTAAGGTGTGACTCTCTGTTCATTAGGTTATCCTATTGGGGGTGCCCATTGGACAGGGGGTTTCACATATGCATGTTGATTGGCGTGGGGCTCATGGAGACAGTGGGGGTCTCCTAGGGGCTCGGCCCCCTCCCCTGCTAGCTCTGGGTGGAAGATGGCAACTAACTTGAAGGCGTGGTTTAAAACTGCAAGGATATACAAGATAGCCAGGGTCTCTTGCAGCTGGTCTGACTCCCCAGGGGCTCAGCCCCTTCCCCTGCCAGCTCTGGGTGGAAGACTGCACCCACCCTGAAGGTGTGATTTAAGGCTGCACGGTCACACATGCAGCACAAGAAGCTATGAGTGGGGGAGGTGCCGGTCAGTCTGGAGACAGGCTTTCCAGCCACAGCCGACAGCTTGCTTGTGAAGGACATTCTACCCATGTCTGAAGGAGCCCACAGACTCCCAGCCCCACTGGCCGGCCTCAGTTGCCGTCCTTGTCCGACACACGGGTGCCTCTCCTGTTTCTTCTTCCCTTGCTGTGTCTCCTTCTTCTGGCCGTCACTGTCAGAAACTCAGGGAAGGCAGTTGCGCCACAGCCGTCCGCATGTCCCTCACCCATCACATCCCGCACCTGTCCTTCCGCGGGCTCCGGCCCAAGAGACCTCACCGCACTGGGCAGCCCTTAGCTGTTGGAGCGCGAGTGCCATCGTCATCGTCAAACAGTGCAAAGGCGCCTTCCGATTGTGCAGTGCGCTCCTCGGTGGGTCAGTTCCTGAGACCTGACCCCACACCCGTTCAGCTCCCTCCCCCAACCGGAATGCATTCTTCTCTTCCAAGCCCCCCACCCCACCCCCCCTTTGCCTCCACTGGGGAGACACAGGGACGCACAGTTCCTCCTCAGGGTTGGCAGAGGCCCTGGCTGAGCCCGGAGGACCCTTAGAAACTTCTGGAAGGGAGCACGTGTCACTGAGTCCTTGCATGTCAAGAGCCCCTGGTACAGTGAGTTTTGGGAACTGAGTTTTGTGTGGAATATAATGCTTCTGAAGGGCTAAGCTGTAAAAAAAAAAAAAAAAAAAAAAATGCGCCAACCTCCGATTCACATATTGAAACTCCCTGGTAACTGTAGTGTTTGTTTGGGTTTAGAACTTAGACTCCTAAAGCATTTTCTCAAGGAGGACTATTTCTTCACTGACATTATTTAGACTTGCTGGCTCAGGAGGTGGCAGAGAATGGCTGGCTTTGGCTCTGTGACTGTTTTAAAATTCTCTGTAGGGATGGGCCTTTGGCTTAGCAGTTAACACACCCAGCCAATAGCAGAGTGCCTGGGTTCAAGTCCTGGCTCTGATTTCTTTTTAAGATTTATTTATTTATTTATTTGAAAGTCAGACTTAACAGAGAGAAGGAGAGACAGAGAGAGACAAAGAGACATCTTCCACCTGCTGGTTGACTCCCCACAAGGCTGCAATGGCCGAGGTTGGGCGAGGCCAAAGCCAGGAGCTTCATCCGGGTCTCCCACATGGGTGGCAGGGGCCCAAGCACTTGGGCCATCATCTTCCATTGCTTTCCTCAGGCCATTAGCAGGGAGCCGGATCGGAAGTGGAGCAGCCGGGACTCCAACCTGTGCTCATATGGGATGCCAGCATGGCAGGTGGTGGCTTTACCGCAGCGCCACAGCACCGGCCCCTTGGTTCTGATTTCAATGTGGCTTTCTGTTAATGTGCACCCCGGGAGGCAGCAGGTAATGGCTCAAATGCTGAGGTCCCTGCACCCCATGTGGGAGACTTGGGCTGAGTTCCTGACTCCTGGGTTGGCCTGGCCCAACTCTGACTCCTTTTTTTTTTTTTTAAAGAATTATTTTATTTATTTTGAAAGACAGGAGTTACAGAGAGAAGTAGAGCCAGAGAGAGAGGTCTTCCATTCTGCTGGTTCACTCCTCAAATGACTGCAATGGCCAGAGCTGAGCCGATCCGAAGCCAGGAGCCAGGAGCTTCTTCCAGGTCTTCCACACAGGTACAGGGGCCCAAGGAGTTGGGTCATCTTCTACTGCTTTCCCAGGCCACAGCAGAGAGCTGGACTGGAAGAGGAGCAACCAGGACTAGAACCAGCGCCCGTATGGGATGTAGGCGCCGCAGGCTGGGGCTTTAACTCACTGTGCCACAGCGCTGGCCCCAACCCTGACTCTTATAAGAGTGAATCTGTACATGGCAACACTCGGGATATAGCACTCTCTCTTTTTCTCTATCTCATTTCTAATTTTGGAAGTTACTTCCTGCCCCTGGCTGTGGCAGGAGACGGTTCCCTCTGCCCCACTCTTGTGCACCACTGATAGAAAGTTGTACCTGCAGTCAGGTGGAGGAGGTAACGCATGGGAAGGGGCAGGTAGCTTGAGAGACGCGGCAGGTGCCCGACTCCAGGTGGGCATGGTTTGGGAGGGAGGGTGGATAGGAGCTGTCCTCACACTGGCCTGAGGTCCCCGGGGGCGGTCATGCAACAGCCTGCATGCCTGCCCGCCCCATCTCCTACCTGCTGTTTGGGCTGAAGATGTTGTCCTCCTGGAAGGAGAGACGATAGAGCTCGTCCTAGGGATGGCAGAGCAGGACGGAGCCTGGGACCCTGAGGGCTCCCCGGAGAGTCAGCTGCGTCTGCAGACTCTGGGAGAGGCCAAACTTCAGTCCTTGGCATTGGAGCTGACAGCTGAAGGGTGAACTGGTGCTTATGTAGTCAGAATAGGGAAGAGACTCTCACGGGGTGGGAGGGTCTGGGAGGCAGTGAGGCAGGGGTGAGCCGAGAGGGTGCTGGCCAGGGGTGAGGATGGAGGGGTGGGGGAGTGGGGGAGATGGGAAGGGAAGAACTCAGGAGGGTTTACCTGTGCTCTCTGGCCAGTCCCTAGTATCAGTGGCCAAACCTAAGACCCCGGGGCCCTGCCCTGAGGGTGTCCCAGGCAACCAGTATACTGAGACTCCTGTTTACTGGGTCTGACTCACTGTCACCTGGGGTTTCCATGGTTCCCAGCAACAATGAGGCATAAGTCCATTCCGAGCGGGTGGAGTCTGCAGGGTGAGGCCTTCCTCTCCCTTTCCGGCTGGGAACCAGCTCAGAGTCCCAGCCTACAAGGTGTGTGTGTGGGGGGGGAGGGTAGCACTGTGTGTGGAGTCCCAGGTGTGGGCTTCCTTGGGAAGGGGTGGGAGAGAGGCTGAGTGGGGTGAAGGGGGCCGGCTCTATGCTAACCGGCAGCCCAGCTCCCTCCACACAGTTAGGGGAGAAGCTCAGGTGCTGAAGAGAGGAGAGCAGACAGAGAAACCCCAGGGGCAGAGTGGTGAGAGCCAGATCCAGGGGTCCTGGCCGCTTTCTGCACCAGGGACAAGCAGAGTGGATCTCCTGCAGGGCTGGTGGCAAGAGCAACTGGCTAGCTGGCGCCGCGGCTCAATAGGCTAATCCTCCAAGTAGCGGCGCCGGCACACCGGGTTCTAGTCCCGGTCGGGGCGCCGGATTCTGTCCCAGTTGCCCCTCTTCCAGGCCAGCTCTCTGCTGTGGCCAGGGAGTGCAGTGGAGGATGGCCCAAGTGCTTGGGCCCTGCACCCACATGGGAGACCAGGAGAAGCACCTGGCTCCTGCCTTCGGATCGGCGCGGTGCGCCGACCGCAGCGCGCCAGGCAGCCGTGGCGGCCATTGGAGGGTGAACCAATGGCAAAAGGAAGACCTTTCTCTCTCTCTCTCTCTCTCTCTCTCTCACTATCCACTCTGCCTGTCGAGTATCCAACATCAACACAATCGACACATAAAGGGGAGCTTGTCTGACTTGGACACACAGAGCTGGGGGGGGCAAGTTGCTTAATAACGGATGAGACCTACCGCAGGGAAGCCTGGGGGCAGATGCATTTTTAAGATGCTGCGTTTGCACAGGTTTGAACCACTTCTATGCATATTTTCTCATTTGCTTTTCATAGGAAGCCCTGTGAAGCACTCAGGGCAAGAAATATCGGTCCATTCTTTTTTTTTTTTAATTAATTAATTAATTTGAAAGGCAGAGTTACAGAGAGGCAAAGGCAGAGAGAGAGAGAGAGAGAGAGAAAGGTCTTCCATCTACTGGTTCACTCCCCAAATGGCCCCAATGGCTGGAGCTGGGCAGATCTGAAGCCAGGAGCCAGGAGCTTCTTCCGGGTCTCCCATGCTGGTGCAGGGGCCCAAGGACTTGGGCCATCCTCCACTGCCCTTCCAGGCCACAGCAGAGAGCTGGACTGGAAGAGGAGCAACCGGGACTAGAAACTGGTGCCCATATGGGATGCAGGTGCCACAGGCGGAGGATTAACCAAGTGAGCCACGGGCACTGGCCTAAGGATTCATTTTTTATTTATTTGAAAAACAGAGTTACAGAGACAGGAGGAGAGACAAAGCGAGAGAGAGAGAGATATTCCATCCTCTGATTCATTCCCTTAAAGGCCACAATGGCCAGGGCAGGACCAGGCTAAAACTAGGAGCCAGGAGCTTCTTCTGGGTCTCCCACATAGGTGACAGGGGCCCAAGCACTTGGGTCATCCTCTGTTGCTTTCCCAGGCGCAGTATCAGGGAGCTGGACTGGCAAGCCAAGCAACCCAGCTGGGGCTCAAACGCGCTTCTATGGGATGCCAGCATTGCAGATGGCGGCTTAACCCTCTGTGTCACAATGCTGGCTCCTAAAACATTTAAAAAGTAACCATAATAGTTCTGTTTTAAATCAGTGAGGAGGATAGTATTTGTAATCTTCATGAGGGGATTCAGCTTGATGCCAGATACATTTTTTTAAAGATTTTATTTATTTATTTGAGAAGTAGAGTTACAGACAGTGAGAGGGAAAGACAGAGAGAAAGGTCTTCCACCTGTTGGTTCACTCTCCAGATGGCTGCAACAGCTGGAGCTGTGCTGACCTGAAGCCAGGAGCCAGGAGCTTCTTCCAAGTCTCCCACATGGGTGCAGAGGCCCAAAGACTTGGGCATCTTCTACTGCTTTCCCAGGCCACAGCAGAGAGCTGGATTGGAAGAGGAGCAGCCGGGGCTAGAACCGGTGCCCATATGGGATGCCGGTGCTGCAGGTGGAGGATCAACCTAATGCACCACGGCGCCGGCCCCAGTGCCAGATAATTTGCACCACAGCTCAGTCCCCACCCAGTTTTTGTTTTCTGATGATTCTCACTAAATCAAGAGGATGTGTCTCGTGGTTCCAAGACTTGGGAATGGCATCAAGTGCTTCATGGCTGGCAGACAGTGCCAAATAAGCAGGTGAAACTTGAAGCCAGAACCGTGCAGAACTTCCAGGGGGAAGACGGTTTGCCAAAGCAGCAGCACCTGAGTCTGCAAGTGCCTGGTGCTCAGAAGTTGAGGCTGATGGTTTCCCCCTGGGAGACGGTGGCAGCCAGGTCCCTATCTGACCCCCGGCTGCCCTGGAAAGTTCTCCATGGTCTGGTGTAGAATGTCACAGAGTTTTAAAAGTTGTGGTAAATAAATAGGACGTGAAGTTTACCATTTACCAAAGTGTTTTTAAAATATACCCAATAATATGTTTTTGCTTTTTTAAAAATATTTTATTTATTTACTTGAAAGAGTTATAGAGAGGCAAAGAGAGAGAGAGAGAGAGAGAGAGAGAGGTCTTCCATCTGCTGGTTCACTCTCCAAATGGCCCCAATGGCTGGAGCTGGGCAGATCTGAAACCAGAGCCTGGAGCTTCTTCCAGGTCTCCCATGAGGGTGCAGGGGCCCAAGGACTTGGGCCATCTTCCACTGCTTTCTCAGGCCACAGCAGAGAGCTGGATCAGAAGTGGAGCAGCCGCGCGCCAGCGCCATAGCTCACTAGGCTAATCCTCCACCTGCAGCACCGGCACCCCGGATTCTAGTCCCGGTTGGGACACTGTCCCAGTTGCTCCTCTTCCAGTCCAACTCTCTGCTGTGGCCCTGGAGTGCAGTGGAGGATGGCCCAAGTGCTTGGGCCCTGCACCCGCATGGGAGACCAGGGGGAAGCACCTGGCTCCTGGTTTTGGTATCGCTCATGGGCGACAGGGCCCCAACCAGGGGGGTCATCCTACGGAAATTGACGACCTTTCTTTCTGTGTATCTGTCTCTCCAAGCCAAAAAAATTAAAAGAGAATCAAAAGAGAAAAGTGGAGCAGCCGGGATTCTAACTGGCACTCATATGGGATGCTGGCACTGAAGGTGGTGGCTTTACCCATTACGCTACAGAGCCAGGCCCCAATTTCTTAAAAAGAAATCATGGGGAAGTGATAGATTTTTTTTATTTTAAAGGTTTATTTATTTATTTAAAAGTCAGAGTTACACAGAGAGGCAGAGAGAGACAGTGAGAGAGAGAGAGAGAGAGAGAGAGAGAGAGGTCTTCCATTTGCTGGTTCACTCCCCAATTGGCCACAACAGCTGGAGCAGCTGCGCCCATCCGAAGCCAGGAGCCAGGAGCTTCTTCCAGGTCTCCCAGGTGGGTGCAGGGGCCCAAACACTTGGGCCATCTTCTACTGCTTTCCCAGGCCATAGCAGAGAGCTGGATTGGAAGTGGTGCAGCCCATGTGGGATTACGGCACTGCAGGCGGCGGCTTTGCCATAGCACCAGCCCCATGATAAGGTTTTGATGTTGTGGCTGTATCGGAGTTGTAGCTTCAAGAATCCTCATCCTTTTCAGAGATCTGCTTTGAGTCCCAGCCACTCTGATTTCAATTCCTCCTTCCTGCTGCCGTACACCCTGAGAGGCAGCAGGTGGTAGTTCTAGTGCTTGAGTTCCTGCCGCCCAGGTGGGAGACCCGGATGGAGTCCTGTGCTGCTGGTTCTGGCCTGATCCAGCTGTCTGGGGAGTGCACCAGTGGTTGGAAGATCTCTTTCTCTGTCTTTATCCTCTGGCTTTCAAAATAAATAAATCTTTATAAAAAAAAAAAAGTTTGAAGTCTGGTTTCTACTGAGTGCATATTGCTTTGGCACCATTATAAAGTCAAAAAACCTTAAGTCAGTCTTTTGTACATAAAAAACCCTAAGGAGTCCACACACACAAAAATGGTTAGAGCTAATACGTAAGAAAGTTGCAGGATACAAAAATCAGTTGCATTTCTACATACTGGCCATGAACCATCTAAAAATGAAATTGAGAAAATAATTTCGTGTAGAATAACATCAAAAAGAATAAAATACTGCTGCATACATTTCATCAAAGTGCAAGACATACACTGAAAACACATTGTTAAAAGAAATAAAAGATGTTCTAAATAAATTGAAAGACATTATATACTTATTGTCTGGAAAACTTAATATTGCTAACACGGCGGTTACCACATTGATCTCAGGTGCCACGCACTCCTTATTCCCCAGAGAGGGACAAGCCGATCCTAAAATTCGTGCAGAGTTTCAAGGGGCCAGGTTGATGGGAGTAAACTTGCAAAAGAGCAAACCTGGAGGGCCCACTCTTCTCAATTTCAAAACCTACCTCGAAGCTGCCATAATCAAGAATCACAAACAAAATTTTACTCAAAATAGAGCAAGCATGTAAATGTAGAAGCTAAGATTATCACAATCTTGGGAGGAAACATAAGGAAAATCTGTGTGACCTTGGATTGGACAATGGTTTCTTAGAAATGACACCAAATACACAGGCATCCAGGGTAAAATGGACTTCATCAAAATTCAAAACTTTTTGGGGTTAAAGGTCACTAGCAACAAAGTGGAAAGATAATCCACAGAATGGAAGAAAACATTTGCAAGTCACATAGCTGGTAAGGGCCCAGGATTCTAGAATATATAAAGAATTCTTACAACCCAACAATGAAAGACAAAGCAATTAAAATGTTTTTGTTATTTTTAAAAAGATGTGCCTATTTTTATTTGAAAGGCAGAGTTACAGGGCAGGGGGCAACAGAGAGAGAGAGAGATCCCATCTGCTGGTTCACTCCCCAGCTGGCTGCACCCTCCAGGGCTGGCCCAGGCTG